TTTTTTTCGTGTCATATGCACTTTAATTGATGCTCAGTAAAACTCGATATGAATATGTTTGAGTTGGATAGGAAAGGCTGTAAAACAAATGTAGATCGACTGACTACAATAATATCTTTGGCCTCTCCAGTGTAATATAATTTATACAGCACAGCTGACATCACATTAACAATAAACAAGACCAGCTTTACAATCTACAGAAGGGCTCACAATAGATATAACTAAAGACCAGCATCAATTATTACACTGGAGATAACCTATATGTTTTATATAAAGCCTTCGGATAACAGACGTACGAATGGCCCACTAGTTTACATGACGGTTAGTCTAGACTACTTTCTCTTATGTGCCGAATGCCAAAAACAAAAAAACTCTTTAACCCGGGTTAATGTTTTCCCATTGCAGACCACTTGTCATTCCCTAGAATATCATTCCTTTGTTTAATGATTGCGCATGAGAAGACACATTAATATGGATACAACTCAAACAAAGAATCTTATCCTCAAGAGAATGATGAAACAAGGTCTGAAATGGGAAAACATATCGCCCGAGGTTAAGAGGTCTTTAGAGTTTGACTCTCATGACATTCATTTAAAATTCATTTTGTGGTTCTCCAGTAGAACCCCTCTGGGGTCCATACAATATCGTGCATTAACACATTGTTAATGAAATGGGTTTTCTGAGTTGAAAAAAAAAATTATCCAAAACTTTTTAATTCGTTCCGGCGCCTGTGTTTCTGAGGGGATTTAAAATTCATACTCACGATCCTGTTTCGAAAAGATTGGCTGATGGATTCGTAGAAAGGTCGAGTTCAAATTCTGTAGATGTTTGCTGGCTTCCATGTAGAGTCAGGTAGATGAAGCAGTCGGTTCCAGCACCAGAAAAGGATGTACTGTCAGTCACAACAACGACTTTATAGTACTTGTCTGCAATATTAAAAAAAACGATCAGTTCATGTTGTAGAAAGTGCGGCAGTGGGATATATTAAGTACTGATCAGGGAAGATTTAGGGGTAGGCCCCCGGGGCCCCCCCCCCCCCCCCCCCCTGTGTATTTTCTTTAAAAGTAATCGTGTTTGCATACGGTCTTGAAGGTTGTCTCTCAGGTCGACGTTTTCCGGCCCACCCTTGCTTTGATTCCTGGATCCGCCCCTGCTGATCATGAAGTAAACTTCCCCCTCCCCTTGGGGACTCCCCTAAGGAGGAGAGCGATGGCTGCAAAGTTAAGATCTAGACAGCGACAGGCAATACTGCATTATAAAATGTAATTTGAAAATGAGGGGAAAAAAACAAAGGTTTTTCTCCACATAATCATTTAACCTTGTCCATTAGACTATTCTCCACTAAACCGTTTTTTTAATGTGCTGTTTTCTACCTTGCTAAGACGGTTTTTTCTCCTGGTTCTAAGGGTTCCCTCCCTCTGCCACTTAAGCCGGTTGAGAGCTGTACGCATAGAATAATGCCGGAATGTAGTTGTTAATGTAAGTGAATGTGGGCCAAATCGGAAACCAGTATTCATATACTGATTTTCTTCTTTCACTAAAATATTTTGTTTAGTATGTCCCAAAAAATGATTGAACAAAATAATTTTTTTATTTACTTTCGATTGTTGGCTAGTATCTCCAAAATTTACTTACTCCTTCAGCTTATAACATCAAAGTTTCTACGGTGACAAGGACGAGAAGAATAAAGGGAACAATTCAAGCCGCAAGATGTTGTCTATACTTACAGTCAGGCTTTCCACAGCCGTACAGTGTGTTAACTCTTTTGTAGTCCAGTAAAGAGAGTCTGGTGTCTTCGTTCCCCAGGTGAGAACAGTGTGATGATGTTATGGTCTGTTGTCCACTGGTTGCAGCAAATGCAGTGGCTCTGTAGTGAAGAATGGAGTCACAGTCGTAGGGAATACCAAGGTCTGTACCTTGGATTTTGTCGAAGTTACCTGACATTCCTAGGAAAAGAAAGAAAAAATCAGGTTGTGCAAAAATTGCATGCAGTAAGACCATGAAATAGAAACAAAGTCGATACTGACAAATATGTAGTAGCTATTTAGTGACTGATAGTTGCTATCACTCAACCAGAACATTCATGCATTACACAAAATTCATTATACAAGAGACCTTTTGTCAAATGCAACAGTTCAACAGTTCAGCGTCTCCAGTTAAGGAACCTTCTAGATTTGGCTAGAAAGTTTCTTTAAATTCTGTAGGTAGGCTTTGAGAAGCATTTGGATACTATAAGAATAATCGTCCACTAACCACTTCTGATTCTATCCGTGTGCACGGTGATATAGCTGTCTCTGTCCGGGCGGCACTGTTCGTGGAGAAAGCTTAGAATATGCATCATCTCATGCAGAACTTTTCCTTTCTTTCCAGAACATCCACTTGTCAGATAACAGGCCTGCTCGCCACTCTTTTGGTTGCCAACCAGAGCATTGCAACTAGTAAAACCATGAAAGATTAGAGTTACAAGGTTAGTTTTGTATTGTATTATCATTTAAGGATGATTTCTTTACTGTTTGAATCACGCTGGGAGCGGTAAAGGTTGAAGGTAAAGTACCTTTATTTAACGTCGGTAGTTCCTTCAGTTGAAATTCAACTGCTATCAATGGAAGCCGACGGTGCGCACTTTACCCCCTCTCTCCATCAGTGCTCYGTTTTAAGAGTATGAAAGCTGAAGCTACACGGATTAGAGAGAAGTCGAAACAGACGTGGAGATCCTAAGGATCAAATCGTGGACCTCAAGCTCTGAAGGTCGCGCACTAACCAACTGAGCTACGCCTGCTCCTGTAGAGCACAAGAGAAGTAAGTTTACAAGAACAAGGCGTGGCAAAGATTTTCTCTTACTTTTCGCAGTGCTCTACAGCTCTGAGAGTGTTCATATCACAATACAGAGACATAAACCATCTTATATTGCATTAAGAAAATATTTTTGAACAATTTTTTGCCAGCGTGTCAGTCTCTCCCCTAGCCAACCATGCACCAGAGCGTGCTAGACGAACTTCTACTTACTAGCCAGCTATCTGGAACTTAACGTAGTTGACCTGAGAACCACGTTCCACAAAACGGACACAGGTTTTGGCATTGAAGACTTCAATGGCTCTTTGCAATACATCAGTGTCAATCCCTGTCATAACATCAAGATAAAATGTGACTTCCGGCTAAATCATTGCTTCTTTGGATCCTCAAGCAAACCCACCCTTACGCTCATTAGAAAGCTACATTTCCCATTTCTTTTAAAAAGGGCGTAGTTGGACCCCTAAGGGATACCCTAAAAGAAATCAAGATGCGCCAAAATTCTAAATTTCAGTTTTAACGTCCTAAACGATACCAAATTGCTGATTTTTACCCCTATAAGAGCACGATTAGCATACCTGATACTTTTTACCCTAGAGTACCCCCCCAGGGGTACTTTCATGCACGTAACTGGCAAACACATACCTGATCCAATAGTGTATGGCACTGTTACCACACCATTAGCTTTAGGCCACTTGGAGTCATCACTAAACGACTGGCGCTTTGAAATGATGTGGCCGTCTTTCTTGGGTATTGCCATTCGTTTGGGAAGAGTCATGTCATCCATCATCACCATATCTAGAACATATACAATCAATTAAAAAAACGTTGTCGTCGACCGGCTCAAGCCTAAGCGACTGGACCGAAAGGAATATGGGTAAAAATCAATGAAGCGGTTAAATATTCGTTCTGAATTAATTGTTCCCGCTAGTAGTAAAGATAATAATGGCGAGAAACAATCCATTAAATGCATGTCTTCGGGTTTAGGGAAAGAAAAACAAAGTAGTTATGATTCAGTTCACAATTTCCAAAAATATGAAGGCAGTAAAAAAAGTCTCCTTCAACATTTCCGCACGCCTACGAAGGTTCGTGCTGTAAACCAGGCATAACTAGTCAGATAAAATTACTGCAGTCAACTCGGCTTCAATGATTGCTACCCAGAGTTCCTTTCGGTTCAGTCGCGTAGGCTTGAGATGGCTGACGACAACGTTTTTTGAATTGACTGTATAATAACATCGGTCATGCGATAATAGTCTACGATGGCGTCGTCAACCGGAAGTGTAAATAATTTCTCTTTGGGGGGGTTCTGTTCATTGGAGATTTCATTCAAAACATTGTTAGTAAAGTCAACTCATCCACAGGGAAGACAGACTTTGAAGCGCGAAACCCCAAAGTGAAGTTATGAATATTAAAAATCAAATATCAAAAATTAAAGATCAGGAATGGGTAGAGTGACCACATTAAATCCGTGAAACTTTAGTAATACTAAATAGCACAATTTCATGCAAATTCCATTGTTTTCTATTGTTTAACTAGCACTATTTTGTACTATTTAGTAAATAGTGTTTCACTGATTTACTGTGGTCACTCTATCAGAAGACAGTTCGAGTGTAGAATATAGTGTTCGACAGTTTTAATGTAAGAATAACAATAAATAATTTCTAACCATTATCCTCTGAATAATCTTCAAGGTTTCCTAAAGAGCCGTGTGGGCCTGGAACATCATCAAGAATGAGTGGAGGACCGTGAAGACCTGGAACATCATCAAGAATGAGTGGAGGACCGTGGTTTATGGTTCGTCGATGTTGGTACGTGAGACTGACGTTGATGAGGCTCTAAGTGTTCATGTAAAAATTGGGTGCACCTTCATCTCTGATAAGGTGTGCCTCATTAGTACTCTTTATATGAAGAATAAGGAAGGACTTTATGGGGTTAAGGTTAAGGTCCATGCACTTGACGTTTATGGTCGCTCTTCCAAATAGTTCAAAGGCTCATTAATTATGCATGAGTTTTTTGAAAAGCTTTTTGACACGAGTGTTTTAGTTTCTTTGTTATGATAACTTTCTTTTATATATAAGGGACTATTAGTTATTCGTCTCTAATTTCCATATCGACTGCTTCAAAAACGACAGTCAATAAAGTAAAATATGCTCCAAAAGAAATGATTCAGAAAAGGATTTTTTGAGTCTACTTACTGTTTCTCTTTTGTGGTTTACCAGAAATCACGGCAAAGGCTGCGAAAATCAAAACTGCTGCCAAAAAAGCCCTCATGTTGTACATCTTCAAAACTCACCAAAGAATTATAAGATCTCCGTAAAATGTGCGCTCAATATATACCCTCGATAGATGACCCAATCATAAAACAGCTTTAATTAGACTCCACATCAGTTTGTTTTCGATAAATTAGCGGCATTCAATTGTCCGGCTTAATTGTCCGCCTTAAGATAGATCCCAACAGAATCTCCTATGTTCCCTATTCATTATCTGGGAAAAAACAGTCTTCACACATTTGTATAGCCCATTTTTATTGCTACATAGTGTGTACTTTGAGTACTGCTCGTGTTGATCTTTTCTATTTTGTACCGAAGCGGGAGGCTAATGTTTTTTTAATTTGAGCTTCTTGCTCTTACTTCTACCCTTCGATTCTCGACCCACAGACAACATTATATGCATGAGTAAGCGTATTCTTAGAGGTTGTTTTTTTTTTTTTTGAGTGTATGTGTCTTCAAGCTCTGAATATTCCACTTTACGCAAGGAAGTTATTAAGGGTCAAGGTATAGAACTTAAGATTCATTTGTATATATGATATAAATAAAAAAGCAAACAATTTCAATGAAAAACCCACCGAAGCAGAAGCGTTGGATAAATTAATCCCTGTCGAAAAATGATGTTGTGTTAAAACAAAAAGAGATGCTTTAGGGTTACATCACGCATTACATAATCATCTCAAACAGAACAATGTAACTTTAAAAGCCCGTTCTAAAGTTTAAAAGGCGATTTATACTGCAAAATGAACTGCGATTTTTCCTGTGATTATTCTAGTGATGGTCGAAAATCGCGCGTGTAAACTACCGAAGATTTTGGCGGTAATTTCAGAGGACGCCGAACTTGCCGTAATTTTGTACATTGAAAAAATATTAGGTTTGAAACCTTTTTTTCGGTTTAGGTAGCTTGGCTTAAAATTTCCACCATGGTTCACACCAATAGCGGCATGTAAGTTTTCCTGTGTAATAGCCGGTTTATACTAGTGGTGGAGAAAAATGTCAAAAAATGCCGCAAAGTTGCACAAAATTCGAACATGTTCAAAATAGTGGCGGAAAAAAAAAAAAAAAAAAAAAAAAAAAAAAAAAAAAAAAAAAAAAAAAACAAAAAAAAAAAAAAAAAAAGCGCGTAAGACAGAAATAGTAAAAGATAGCTGGTAAATTTAATGATGAAATTCACTTTATTAAGAGTTTAGAGCATATTCAAGCCCATAAAACGATGACTTTATAAGTTTTAACTGATTTTATATTCTAGTCTAAAAGTACGATTTCTTATCGAAAATCATCGCGGTACAAATCTGAGCGGGCTGAGCGAATTAACTTGTAAAAATACTCTGAGAGAACCTTAAAATGAAGATAACTTTCTAACGAATAATTGAAGCGGTATCATATGGAGAAACTGCTTGACCGTACTGAAGCTATGTGAAAACGTCCCATTCTTACACGTGCCAAACATTAAGCACTCTAAAAACATTAAGTTCAATTTAGTTTTTTTTTTGCCTGGTGTGCTATATTGTTTAAAATGCAGCGAGCGAGAATGAAGATACTTTTAACGATCTCCTGGTGTAAGAATCGTAAAACTCCAAGCTATTTGTTGTCTTGCCCGACTGTTAAGCAGTAAAAGATCCGCGTAGAGGAGTTCCCCAATAAAATCTAAGTTGGACTTTCTTCATAGGAGTTTTTTATCACCGGCTGTGGAATTGGAATTTTACGACGTCGATCGCGATCTATCATCTCCGTTTTCTGATTGTCTTCGTACTTTGTCCCACGAAACAAGAGTGGTCAAAAAGTTGATTGAAATTTATTGATTATATATTTTTTTTCTAGTAAAAGCGGATRGATAGTCCTTTTTCATCATAGCGCGATGTTTCGCCAAAACTTCAAAGTTTGAGAAGATACCTGAGATTTCATATATGTACGAAGTCATTGTTCAAGAAAGCCTTTCTATTCTGCTCGCTTATAGATATCAAAATAAAAGCTAGCAAAGTATTAGAAAGTACATTTATTATAGCTGTTGAAAACCCATGCACAGCTGATACCCGGTTAATAAAAAAGATAAGTTTGCAAAATTTTATCTATTTCTGCGGCAATGTTTTCTCGTTGATGAATACCATAAATACTCTCAAGGCTTTCTTTTGTTTATTGTTTGCGTGAGTATTAATTTATTTTGAAAGATTTGTGAAGCGGTAAGAATCTAAAAAGAAATTCTTAAGCTTAACACAGATTGCCATGGAAACGCGTACAGTAGGACTAAGGAAATAACATTTTTGTTAGGGCAAACTAGGGCAAATTTTGAACAAGAACTGTAATGTATAGGATCAACTTCTTGTGATATATAGGCTGCATGTGTCTGATAAAAGAAATGCAAAAATCAGGCCACAGTTAGTTGTTAACGATGAATGAATGAAGAGATAATAATTACATATGACAACTAAACTGCTAATGAAAAGCTAGCGAGGCCGTCACGATATCATCGGCCATTGCTCAACCAAATCGCTCATTAGGCTCGGTTTCAGATTTTTGATCTTTTCTGTATTTTAGCAGTCTATTTTCCTTTGGTATAGTTGACCCCGGCCCACAACTTCACTGTCCCCCCCAACTGGACCGCTTTACAATCGGTGGCTTCAGCCATAAATCAGATTAGATAGCATAGAGAAATGATGATTCTAAACTATGCCAAGATCTAGAGCTGTAGTCGAAAGCCGTCTTCACTACTCACTGAAACTTAATAGGCAGTTCTAAATGAAAACGGAGAGGCCTATGGGCTTCAGATTTGCGTTTCATCATTAGCCAAAGGCGTTTGAAATTAGTCCTTCCCTTTTGAGTATATCTAAATCAAATCATCTGTCTACTTTGAGACATCATATGAGTAAAGATAGACGCTCTCATCAAGGGCACTAACTTCAAGTATCTGGACGGCCAAATGGCTTTCGATTAATAATAGCCGTCATCAGAGCKTGAGGAAAAAGAAAAGGAAGGAAAAATAGTAGAGCACGCACAAAGAAGGAAAGAACGAGAACTGAAGAAGGAAAAGTATGGATAAGAGAGAGAAAGAGAAAAAGAAAAGAAGAGAAAAGATGAACACACTCTTCAGCTCGAGCCGCCATTTTGACCGTGTTGATTAGCCGGGAAACTAGGCTCCCTAGGTACCAGGGATTCTCAATGTTAAAGTAACGCCTGTCATTTTTCTAGCAAAGCCAAAATAATCGTGAAACTTTTACTGAATGAATGCTGAAAAGATTTTCTCATTTGAAGATAAAGGACATCATCTTACAGTAAAAATCCCTGAAGTAAGTTCTATCCTTTCTCTTCCAAATAAACTAGCTAAGAATCAGTATTTATACGCTTGTTCTCTTGAATGGTATCTTTCTTTGTTGCCTTAATGATAAGAAGGGGGAAAATTATGATGATTTAAATATGGATGTATTTTAGGTTGTTCATCCTCAGTATGGGATGTTCACCTGGCCTTCGGCACCTGTATTGGCACAGTATGTATGGACAAACCGTGCACAGATTCAAGGAGCAACTGTCATCGAGGTACTTTAATATGACATTACTTTTCAAGCCTTTCAATTACAAGATATATTGCAATACGTTTTCTTTAAAGTCTTTAATCTTACAATTATACTTTTGCTGCATAATTTATCATTATGAAAGATGGATGGGATAAATGGGAATTACAATGGTTCCACAGAGTGGCTCTTCTTCTACTGGATTCTAATGGGAATTTAGAAATTTATTTTTATGGATGGAGGAAAAACTGAAGAAAGATCCTCTAAGTACAAAAGAGAACCTCCGAAATCTCTAATCACATACAACAGTAAATAGGGATTCAAACCCACAGCATATTATTGAGAGGCAAGCGCTCTCACCACTATGAATAATAATTGTGGTAATGTGCCAAATTAGTGCCATCTCACTGCTAAAACACATAAATGGTGTTCAACATGGCCATCATCATACAACAATTAATAGTCTTTTATCTCCATGGCATATCTAGCTTGGTGCTGGTACAGCATTACCAGGAATTGTTGCTGCACTTTGTGGGGGCCAAGTTATATTGACTGACAAAGAAGACTACCCAGAATGTCTTGAGAATTGCAAGAAGAGTTGCTATGCTAACAGCTTAACATCTGTGGATGTTGTGGGAATAACGTGGGGAGAGTTTTCACCTAATGTGCTAAAGCTTCCAAAAGCTGATGTCATTCTGGGCTCAGATTGCTTCTATGATCCCAAAGGTAATAGATCAATTATTAGCAACCACTATGTTTATCTGTGGGGGGGCACCCTGAAATTACATGCATAGTTACTTCCATATAAATGTGCCAAGATTTAATCCCATGGTATGCTTAGCATCTAAACATCTCTTGAATGCTTTTTTTCATTACAGATTTTGATGATGTTTTGGCTACAGTTTCCTTTCTGCTTGACAAAAATCCATCTGCAAAGTTTTGGACAACATATCAAGAGAGAAGGTAAAAAAAATAAGAAGGAAAAAAAAGGATAAAATTATTGTCATTGTTATCTTTATTTAATTAAAATATGATTCTTCCTTTCTTTATTCCACAGTTCTAATTGGTCTATAAAGAATCTATTATCAAAATGGGGCCTAAAGTGTGTTCAGATTCCCCTAGAATCATTTGATGCTGATGACGAATTTGTTGGTGGAAGCTCAATGTCTAGCAAACACACCATCCAGATGTTAGAAATCAATAAAGAGTGAGATCTTTATGATGACTGGTTAAATAATGGGCAACTTTGATGATGGGGTGGCAATCTTGGATCACAGGGGGCAAATAAAGCTTTGTTACAGTAATGATGTTGATTGATAGTAACAGCTCACCACAAGAGAATAAAACAAAAGATAAATTAAGGTGGGGTATCCATCACCTTAACATATAACAGAAAGACAAACACACAAAACTCTATATATTTTCTGACATCTTTGTTTTGTTTTGCCCCCTGGCAAGACTGGCACTGTGTCATCGAAGTAGTCCATTAATGTAGTTGGTTCAAGGTTTGGTCAAGAATTCAGCAGCATTGTCAGCTACAGTATGTATACCATAGGAATTGAACACTGATGTTGCAGCATCCAACAGAATGACTTGCAGGAGATAGTAGAACAAGCCCTGTCATACGGGAGGACAACTCATTTCAAGGATCACATCACTCTTTCTTGGTACTTGTAGCACTTTCTGATGTTTGATGAAGAGGAACTTTGAAAACTCTGATGTGAATGRCTGAGTTCGTTCTGATCTTAGAATGACTTTCATGCTCCTGAAAYAAAAGGATATAATAAACCAATTTATTTTAGTCAACTAAAAATGTCCAAAATAAATATTAATAAATAAATTGATACATTATTGTAACTTTGTTTAACTTTACCTGTATCCTAATTATTAAATTTGTTAGCATAGTTTTTTTTTGTTAGTTTTTTCTTCTTCTTTTGTGTGTGTGTGTGTGTGTGTTTGTACTCCAAATCCAAATGTGTAAATCTTTTTTTAAGTGAACTCCCTAGATGAGCTCGAATGAGAGCTCTTGGAGCAAACTTAAAGAATTTATATGTTTAAATAAAAAATATAAAAAATTGATACATGGTATTTTTGTAGCATTTTTTTGTTTGTTTACACTAGAGTGCATACCATATATCTTTGAAAAAATTCACAAACAAAATTGTACAAATTAGTGTTAAGTTTTGTAGGTCTACATGTACATGTACTGTATGGTCTACTGAGCTTACTTCAATTTCTTACAAAGTTTTTCATTTAATTAGCATGTAGCCCTGTACTGAAACCTTTGTGCATGTAAAGCAAAGCATAATTTGGGAGTAGGCTATTAAGATAAGACCTTGCTATTAAATAGTTCCAAAAAAACCCATTCACCCTGTAAAGGGAGTCTGACGTTTAGACTAAAGCCCAATGAACTTTCTATAAAAAGGTATCAGGGAAAGCCAACTCTAGGGATTCTCATCAAAGCCCACTTTGGAAGTTAAGGATATTTTCCTGAATTAAAACTTGAAAGTTCATCTTACATCATCCAGAGGCTCAAAATCATCAATGAGGTTCACACTAGAGGTGTTGGCTGAAATCTAAAAATAGGATAGAAGGATGAGTATGGATAAGATAATATATATATACAAAACCTTTTATTTACAGACACATGATTTTAAATGCTGCTTCATAAGAACTTTCAAAGATGTAACTAGATCTTGAAGTCAAACTATTGATTTGCCTGTTTACCCCCATTTCCATAGAAACAGATGTCCCCCCTAGATTTCTACCCATGGGAGGGAGGTAAAGAAGGAAATTGCAGCCAACTTTAGCATCTCAGACAACTAAACTTACTTCAACTGTCCCCATTCCTTTGTCTTTGAGTTGTAAAGCTAGGTTGACTGCCCTGTTGATGGCTGCTCCAAGCCCATGAATCCAGACCTCTTGCTGACTGTTTTAAAAAATATTCATTTTAGTACTTATTGGTTCAGGTAGTTTTTACTTGAAATTATAAAGCATGATTATATACAAATTTATATAACACATAAACCATTACATATATATTTAGTAACATCTAAATTCAATTTATTATCCGCACTATACCTTGAATCTAGTAGTTTTTGGCATCTTTCAAGTTGGGCTTTGAAGTCCGTTTTCCTATTAACATAAACATCATTTTTCTTCTTAGGAGTTCTTTGAGGAGGCCTTTTCTTTAAGGAATCTAAATTTACAAGCAAAATATGGTTTATTTATGAACAAACGAAAGAAATTCGTAGCTATATTACGAGCTTACAATTTTCTGTTTCTTTGTCCGCCATCTTGGATTTGTTAGGTATTCCGCTGACCGCCTGGCATAAGTGGCAGCGCATGCTCAATGGCGTTCTCTTTCCATCGCCATCTTTGAGACTTGAGAGAAGGTGAGATAGATTGTATCGCAAAATCCTGCTTTATCTCACTCATCCTTATACATCTTGAATTTTTACCTTTTGGAAGAAATAAAACACATCCTAAGCTTTCATACTGTATATTTTTTAGTATAATTTATTGCTTTATATATATGTTTATAAGATCGAAAACACGGAGATACTTTCCAGAGTATATATTACCTTATTTACTATGTTGTGCTTTTTCTTTCTGTAGGACTTCTCCAGGATCTCACTTATACATTAAAATGGTATGTCTTTGGTGTAATTATTATTCTAAAATTTTTGATTTAATTGTTTATACTTGAACGAAAATAGATTGTAGTGTAAAGAGGTATGACTTATGTGCTAGCAGACGACTTACCATAAGCTGTGTTATTTTTAGCCCAAGCAAATCCACGAAATTAAGGATTTCCTCGTTACTGCGAGAAGAAAGGACGCTAAGTGTAAGTTATATGATTAATCTAAAAACTATTTGCAAATGTTTTTATTTGAGTTATCTATTTTTGCACTTCGTATTTACTGGTGCTAATATTCAGCTGTGAAGTATATTTAATTTTATGACATTTAAAAACTGTTGCAGATTCTTGGGGTGCATGYGACGTCCTAGCTGCCATCTTGGTTGACGATAACAAAGCATTCCTCATTAGCTTCTCTTGATAGATCAACCAAGATGGTGGCTGTTTCATTGTTATTTTTATGTTGAAATAACTGTAAATATATTTTACRATAGAGACCTTTAGCACAGCATTCTTGCTAGGTACTGCTAACCTCAAAGTACAGTTTCAATGTCAGGCATTTGCCATCAAACTTTCAACATTTAGCAAGGCGTCATGCTGAAGTTGTTGCTGGTARAGCAGCCATATAGAATTTAATTGATGCCTAGAGTTTCTCAGTTGTGGGTGTGTTTCAGGGCCTGATCCTTAGCGGTTAGTGGCTAGCTGTAAACTAAAGGTCTTTAATGATTACAGAGAGTGATTACTCATTCTCCCAAGCCAGAAGTTCATGTTTAAGCTTTAGATGTCAGAACAAATTATAATTAGAGTTCAGTCTTTGGTTTGATTGTTTTCTCTTAATAACTGAAAATCCATTTTCATTTTACAGCGGTGAAGATAAAGAAAACCAAGGACAGCGTCAAGTTCAAAGTACGATGCAGTAGATACCTATACACACTTGTTATTCAAGATAAAGAGAAGGCAGATAAGCTCAAGCAATCCTTACCACCAGGTAGCTATCTCTACTTATGTAGGGGGGGAGGGGGGGGTGAATAGGTCATGGATCAGCAGATTTTCCTATTTCAGACTGTTTTATTCCCTTGAGTACCATTTCTTTGTTTAACGGTTGAACACCAGACACATGAATATTGATACAACTTGAACAAAGAGTCTTATTCTCAAGAGAATTACATGGTTTGAAATGATTAAACATTACRCCCAAGGTTGAGAGGTCAATTTTAGATATCATTTCAAGGACCTTGAGAATAATACTGTTAAACAGCAACATTTCCTAGAATTACCAGTCAATATGGGAGTTATGCTAAGTTTAAAGCTAAAGATATATTTTGTCCTTTGTCCTATTGCTTCGGGAAAGGTTGTATGACAGAATAGTTTAATGGTAGCCATGCTGGAGGACAGAATCAATTCAATGTTTTTGCATGAAACAGGGTTCGTGCTACTCCTTAAATTTTTGCTTTAATCATTACTTGCATGGTTCTGACATAGATCTAGTCAGAAAGATCAGAAAATCTGAAAGTTTGCCATGTGCAACCACCGTGTAAAACCTTGGCATAGTTAGCTGAACATGCTCCTTGAAATTCATTTTTGGGTCCTTGTATACTCCTTGAATAGTCCTTGAATTTTAAGTGGTTACCTCAGCACGAACCCCAATGAAAAGAGATATCATTTCCCAAAGGAGAGAATTTCTATTATTTTGCTTCACAACATGGCTTCTGTAAAACCACTCTACTACGTAATTCTTTTGTGTTTCCTGGTTATTGATTCTAGTAATTGTGCTATTGCAGGTTTGGCTGTCAAGGAACTCAAGTGAACAAGACATCTTTGAAAAACAATAAATGTGTATAATAATTTAAAAACTGTTTTGATGTTTTTCTCTCCCTCCTTCACTTTCCACTGTTCGAGCTGATTTTCTTTGCATGCAAAAAATTAGCTTTGTCTCGTAAAAGCATCAAGGAAATTTGCGCAGGTTTTTTGTTAGAATACAAAGGGGTTGAAAATGATTACATAGAGGAAAAATGCAATTTTATTTTGAAAATTTACACTAGCGGTTATAATGAACATTATTTAATTCTATTGGCTTGATCGTGTATACTGTTTAAATCTTCCCAAGGAACAAAATATCTGTCATGTTGTCAGTGTAACAAAAAAAAAACTAAAAAAAAATCTGATAAATCAGATGTGGTTGCAATGGACACCAGCTGAAATAATATATCCATAAATGGTAAACCAATCACAACTGGAGAGTGTATTTTGTCACAAATCCTACCAAACCCTGTAAAGAATTTTAAAACCTCCGCACATCAATTTTAGCCTGTCTCATCTTTTTACATATTGTACAGACCAACCACCATTTAAACTCGATCCTTAATGATTGCTACCTAGTAAGAAAAAGTCTTGCATCAGATCCATGACAATGYACAACAAGGCTGCCTATATATAAAGAGTACCACTATCATTCCCATACTATTATTTTATCCACTGTTGGATGCTTCGTGATTTTGAATTATACTCCTCAGTTCTTTCAGTCTTTCTTGTACAACTGCAGTTCTGACACATGAAAGTTGAAAGTCCTTGAAAGCAAAAAGCAATTTTCAAGTTAGTGCTTGAGAGACTGACTAGCTTCTTGTTCACTTGGTAACATACTACAGATCTTACCGAACTGTGGCGACATGCCAGAAATTTGTCTCGCTACCACACCCTAATTCGTCTACTGCCACACCTACTTTTGTTACATGTATTACCTTAGAGTGACCACAGTAAATCTGTGAAATTTTAGTAATACTAAATAGCACAATTTTATGCAAATTCTGTTGTTTTCTATTGTTTAATTAGCACTATTTTGTACTATTTAGTAATTAGTGTTTCACGGATTAATTGTGTGCACTCTACTGGCAATGTACTAGATTGTAGACAGTGACAGAGAGAAAAATTTTCAGTTGGGTGAGAGGCTAGTCAGTGCAGAACAATAGCTATTCAAATTGGTTGCCATATTTTGTGTATGGTTTACAAGGAACTGGAACAACTGGTCCTCTAGTGCTCATGGTATCCATTCTGGAAACAATCCCACTAAACACTAAAGTGCTGATTCCTGCATTGCATTTGACTATTTTCTTACCTTTTCCACTCCATAAGTGGAACCTTCATGAGGTTGTCCTGTAGCGACTTGTGTTAGATAACTGATCTGTTCTGATAATCCTTTCTCAACTCCCTAAACAAGTGTAATATGTCATTGGTATGTGTCTAATATACATTATTTGCCTCTTGAAGTCTAAAGGGAGACCAATTGGCTGGTACATCCAATGCTTTATATACCTCTAGTGATTTGACGAACTGTGTAGCCTTCGTATTCACCACCTCATCTGATGGGGAATCTTTGGACAATTCTAATAAAGTTTGACCAGCAGTTTGTAACACTTTCATAATTTCCTAAGAAAATAAAACTATATTATTAGATGAAGGCTGCTAAATCAATAAACAATTAGAAAATGATCAGCTCTTTAATAAAACGCAGTTTACGACGTTTATTTAGCGAAAGATACAGGAAAACCAATGTTAGATAAAGAGTAAAATTGATTCATTGACCACATGCATTTAGAAAAACAATAGTTCTCATGCAGTCAGTCATACTTCCTCTATTTCATTTACTCATGAAAGGAAAGACAATATTTACATGTTCAATTTCTTCTAAACGCTTCAGCCGATCTCTCGACTGAGACATGATGATGTCCTAAAAAAGACAGTTCTTTGTTACTTTGCGTCCGCCATCTTGAAAACCAAAAGACAAACGAGTATTCCTGGTACTAATGGAGTATACAGCTGACATTCTTGACTGCTGTCACCATCACGTGTCACGTGACGTGGCCAATCCGGAAATCAAGATGGCGGCGAAACATCGTTCGCAGATTTGGAGGAAAAAATCTCATTGTAATCTCATATTTTAGCTTTTTAAAAACAAAATATTTTAATCCATTATGTTCCAACGTCAGAAAAATTGGTTATCTGACGTGCTGTGGAAGCCTAAAAAGGCTCATTCGCTGGAGCAGCTGAGGTGAGACGAGGAATTTCGTCTTAGCTTTCTTGACGTGTCGTTTCACAACAAGCTTTAATCTTGTTTACTTTGAAGTTGAATGTACTTTTTTTTGATTGTAAATTGCTAATAGGTGCTTGGTGTTTGCTAGAGCATGGACTGAAATACCTGCCCGTTTCCGCTAACTGAGTTGGGTTTTAATGTCGTTTAGGTATTTGCATTATGTTCTGAACAAGAATTCTGTCATCAACGAGACGAATCGAGGATTACTGGTTGAAACCCTTCGTTCTATCGCTGAAATCCTGATTTGGGGGGATCAGAATGACAGCAGAGTATTCGAGTAAGGACACGATTTCTTTGTGGTTAATTATTTTCCAAATCAATGATTTATTGAAATACAATCTTTATATATACGTATATACGTCTAGAAACATTTAAGCCCATGATATTAATTTGCAGTCAGCTGGTTTTTCACTCCATTTTATTAATGATCGATATTAAAATCATACTTTCTTAGATTGATATATTGAAACCACCTACATAAACAAGGGTTTAATTAATACTTGCAGTTATTAAATAGTTATTGTAATGAAAGGGAAAATGATTTTCATTTGTAATTTGCAAAATGTAAACAATTATTGGAATATAAATATTTTGGTTATAAATTAATTGAAGTYATTTTTATGAGTTTTTTTAATGTATATTTTTAAGCTTCTTTCTTGAGAAAAACATGCTGATCTACTTCCACAAGATGATGAACCAAAAATCTAGCAACCAGATTTGCGTTCAACTTTTGCAGACATTGAGTATTATGTTTGAGAACATCCGTAACCAAACATCTCTGTGTAAGTACATATAGGCTATTAACCATGCCGGAGGCCTAGCTAGGAAAAACCATGCCCGAGTTCTTCAATATATGTATATTGGCTGTTAGGATGAGGTTCATTTTCAATGCCAAGGGTACAGTTTTTGCCTATCTGGACAAACTTTAGGACAGTAAATATATTTATTTTTACCATTTACTTTTTAACCTGTTTTGCAAATTTTTGTTGTTTAGCAATCCATTATCCATCAGACCGCACTCACACAGAGATAAAATATACTGCCTGCTCGCGTAGCCAATCAGAATGCACTATTCTTAGAATACCAGACTGGAAAAAATATATAGTTTTATTTCTTTCAGAGAATATTTGATTTGAAAACCATTAATATATATTTAGACATACCATGCAGCACACTGGATTATTGTTCATAATTTTGAAAACCCACCTGCACTTCCCTTGTGGTGAATATGCTAATTATTCGTTTCTCATCCCACAGGGTTTTTTTTAGAGGATTCTCACTTCATTCCATTTTTAAATATTACCAAGATTTATTCTCATATATTTATTATTCTTACAGATTACCTTCTATCAAATAACCATGTTAATTCAATCATTATTCACAAGTTTGACTTCTCTGATGAAGAGGTAATATTTTCTGCWATCAAAAATGGTGATCATAATCCCATTCACAGTTCCTTGTGCCATCTTGAAAGATAGCTGTGCCTTTGCATCTACGCAGGACGAACTGTGACCTTGCAATGATAGAGGCCTTTTTTAACACCTTGGACAATCGTTACTCACATGTCTCTATCATTGAAAATTCACCTTTTCTCTTGCTTTGATGCAAAGGCACAGCCACCTTTCAAGATAGCACAGGGAACTGTGAATAGGACTATTATAAGAATGCTAATTATAAAGTAATGGTAGCCTTACCTTATCGTTGTCAGATTTATAATCACAACTAATGTAGAGGACTGGAAAAAAGCTTACCAGTAATTTTTTGTTTAAAATTTAAAGCTGGAGGGCATGAATATTCATCCCACCCCTTCCATTTTGCACTAATGAAAAAAGTGTTCATAACTGAAAACATTTATCCAGGTAACCTTTCACATGGTTAATTTGAAGCTCTCAAATTTAAATTCATGGGGAAGGGGCATGATGACCATTTACCTTTCCTTCAATTTGAGACTAAAATTTGCATTAATTTGCCCTTTATGGGCTTCCTGTGGTATTGGTAGTTGTGAGCTTATACTCTAGATTTTGCACTTTTACTCCCAATTCCTATCCATTAACTTTATTTTTTTTGTCTTGTTATTCTAGGTCCTGGCATACTACATTTCATTTCTTAAAACGCTTTCTCTCAAACTGAATACACAGACTATTCACTTTTTCTTCAATGAGGTAAATAAGTATTTAGTGTAAGCCAGACATTCCTCGATGTAATCGAACAAGCATTTAATGCCAATCAAATCTCTCAAATACTAGCTAGAATTTAGTTTTTGAATGCAGGAAGTTTGAGAGAAGAGTGAAATGTGTAATCTAAGGTGTAGGTTGGAACAGTCAATTGACTTTTTAATATCATTCTCATATCATCTGAAATGGTCAATAATTGTATATTAAGCTAAAAACTACAAAATGTACAAAATGTACAAAACTTTCATATACCAACCTTTTTTAGGGCCTAACACTTTTGTCATTTTCTCATGTTGGGTACTGTCTTATTTCTTTCTTTATAAATATGACTTGTATTTCATTAATATTTATGGTGTTTTGTACTTTCGACAGCGCAAGAATGACTTTCCTTTATATACAGAAGCATTAAAATTCTTTAATCACTCAGAGAGTATGGTTAGAATAGCCGTCAGGACCCTCACTCTCAATGTCTACAGAGGTAAACCTAATCTACGCAACAAACTACAGTGATATTTTTCTTAAGCAGACACCCTTTTTTAAACAGACGGCTCACAAAAATTTTCTTCCAGTATTTACTTCTGAATCAAAACTTTTCAAACTTCAACCTTTGTAGGATTAGAGCAAGCCTAAAATGATGAGTGATTTATCAGCGCATGATGGGCCTGACTGTATTAATTGGCTGGTCCTTTTCCTGTTGACCAACTGTTATTTAGCTATAATTTTATTAATGTTTTCTTTTATAATATCCAAATACTCTCTGTTGCTTATATCTTGATTTTTTTTATTTTGTGTAGTTGGAGATCAAAATATGCTGCATTTTATAAGAGACAAGACAGCAGATCCTTACTTCTGGAATCTCGTCTGGTTTATTGGTAGTCATGCCATAGATCTTGACAATTGTGCTAAGAAGGAAGCAGAGTAAGTACAGAGTAACTTTGATATGATAACCATTGATTACAGATATGGGTAACTAGTGGCTTACCAGACATACCCCTTACATTACTGAATGCATACATTAGAAATATTTATGCTGCTCAGAGTGTATTAGAAATCCTGTACATGTTAGATGAAGCAAATATTTTTAGAAAAGAATTTGTTTGAAGAATAACATACAGGATCTCTGATAAATTATTATCATTGGTTATAATAGGGTAGCGCAGTGGTAAAAAAGTTTCCTTATACCACATTCCTGTGGGTTAGGCCACCAGGTTGGGTCTGTGGCACAATTCCTGCTGATGCCACACCAAACCAGAGGTTTTTATCTAAATTCTTCTGTTTTTCTCTCAAAAATCATCATCTGATGTGAGTTGAGAGTTGTATCCATAGAATATTGACTGTATTCCTGATGCTGCGGTTGAAACTTAAAACCACTAATTCATGCTCAATTTATTCACTCACTTTTTTTTAAATGTTTTAATATCAAAGGATCATTAAGACAAAATTAAATAATTTTAGAAACTTTTATGTAGCCCTGAAGGTTGGCCAATATGGCTGAAGTCTTGGCAATGAAAGAAAATACTAAACGTAGTGGATATGAAATCTTGACTCARATGCATCTTACCTACAAGAATATGCTTGAATTAATGTAAGAAAATATACAGAATACTTGCTAGCCATTGATTAATTTGTTCCTTGTTGATTTGCAGCCATCTTCGATGTGATCATCTCAAACATCTAGTAGCTGATCATTTGGATCATCTCCACTATATTAATGATATCTTATGTCTGGATATCCATGATCTTAGCACTATTCTTACTGAACACCTACTGGATAGATTACTCATACCTTTGTATGTCTATTCCCTTGTCAAGGAAAAACCTGATATAGATCTGGTAAGAACGCATGTAGAATTTAGCACTTTTTTGACTTCCATGTGGTATGGCGAAAAAATGTTTTGCAAGGTTTTATGATTTCCATATGAGTTTGAAAGGTTGTCATTGCGGTTTCATCTGCTCTTGTGATAGTTTCATCAAAGAAATCCTTGACATTAAGATACAAGTTAATATACATCATTATTATTATTTTTATTACTTCTCTAACATTGTTAATGGTTCTTGCTTTTCTTTATTCCAAGGTCAAACCAAGAATCAATGCACTACTCTCTCTATACCTCTTATCCCAGGTTAGTAAATATATCATGAATGTCATAAACATTTACACAAGTTTTTGATTTCTTTTTGACA